TTCCGTCCTGACTTATCTGACTTCCTAGATACCTAAAAACATATTTTACACTTATTTTTCTTTGATATATATTTAATTTATCAACTATTACGATACTTTTTACGGTACTTCTATAATTCGAAATCTTTCATAACTCGAATATTTCCATTGTTTATTATTAATTCCAAACTCTTTAACTCGAATATCTCTATCTCTCTTACTTGAATTTTTTTTTAACTCGAAATTAGAGTTAGATAAATGACCCTTTAACTTGAATTTCTAAGTACTTATTTTCTTTAAGTTCTTTGATCATATTTGATCTCATCAGCACGCTATAATCAAACGATTCACCATAACGTCTAGATAGATAACAAAAGAAACACTTTGCTAAATAATATTTTTAAATATTAACGAGTGAAGAATCAGAGTCAATCAAGGTATTAATGTTTTTTATTATTTTATAAATCATTATTTATTTCGTAGTTTTATTTAAATTTATATATGTATTAAGTTCACTCGGTATATCGTTCGGTATATTACTCATAATTAAATCTTCTTCCTCCATCAAAACGAAACCCGTAAGCCGGTGCATTTTTTGCGTCAACAAGAGCAGGATTTCGATGCTTGTAAAAACTTCCATGGGAATGGGCGGCTCTGGACGGACCAGTTTCCTGGCCTCGGGGATAGAAGGCTTCGAAAGTTCCTTTTGGTGGTATCACGGAAGCCACTTTCGTATCATTCGGATCGTAGCAGTGGACGTATAATAAAAACCGCGTGGTTATCGTCACCAACACTAACAGCATTAACGACAGCGATCTGTTTGCACACATGTTTAATATTTCGCTAAGTATTTAGGGATAAAAATGATCCAGAACGTATCAGAAACATTTGTAACTGATATGTTGGCAAAATGAAACTGCTTCGGTTGTCAATAGTTAGTCGTTGAGAACTTTCTCTTTACTTCGACAAACGCTTTGGGCGCGGCGGAGTTCAACTGAACGTCCTCGCTCCTCAGATTTTGATATACAGGATGTCTCTTTAATAGGAGCTGTACAGCTGCAGAACTACCAACTCAATTAGATATTTACATATGTATTTTTTAATAAACTTTGTTGGTGTAATCATTTAGAGTATCAACCTACATCCTTAGCAGATACCGTCTTTTGTCGTCCAAATGAATTGTTTGAGTATATGTTTCAACGCAATATCCTTTATATTAATGAACTGGTCCGCATAAGGCAGCTCTGCGCACTGATTCTGAAACCCACTACACCCATTTGTGAACTGAGATAGGTAAATCATTATTTAGTGGCATGACCTAGAGGTTTAGACCATTGCTTAGGATTCTGGAGGATACCCATCGATTCTGGGCCCGTTTACCTTAGTCCAAGTTTTTCTGTGGTTTCGTTGGATCACTCAGGTAAATGTTTTTTACCCCAATCGCTACCCACCCATTCTCATGATTCCTAAAACGAGGTGTAGTTGAGAGGGACTGCCCGTCTACCAGCATTAGTAGGTAGCCGATGGGAATGAAACAACCAAAAGTTTTTTTTTCAAGTAGCGGACCTACGCCTTTGAGATATATTGGATTAATACCCAATTTTATTTAACCAAAAAATATCTTTGGCAGACATTTTTACATAAACAATAATGGATTCTCTTATAATCTAAGCGCCAATCCCATTATTCACACCTTCTTTTCCCTATTCCAATCTACACCTTTTTCGCACCTAATTTCCAGCCATACATTCTACTCTACGCTCCTATTCCTTAAAATCTTTTTTAGACGACTCACCTCACTCCCATCCTCCCTTACCAACCCGAAGTATTCTCCCCACGTCCCACCATTCTCACATCCTTTTAACACAAGCTTCAAGCTCTCCTTCTCTCTTTTACATATCCCTTATCGCTTTTTTTCTTCTTCTTTTTTCCAGTATCGATGTCCTCTACACTCATTCCCTTTTCTAGATCTTGCCCTTACACTTATTTTCCTCCCTTTTTCTAAATACCTTGACACCCAGTCTTCCTGCCAGTCCCTCCATTTTTATCTCCTCTACTCCCACTATATATTTCGATCTTTCTATTTTTTTTTAAATTATCGCCCCTTATTATTTCTCTGCATCTACTTCTCAACAATCCACCTACTTTTGTCCTTTCCCTGAACCACTCCCTCACCTGCTTGATTTTTAAAATACTCCCTCTCTCTATCATATTTACTTTTTGCTTCTTTTTCCATTACCTTCTTTCTTCATATTTTTTTCCTTATATCCACCAACCCCTTCTCATATTTTACTACCCGTTTTATTGCTTCTTCCCACGTTTTGTCTCCCTTATTATTACTTAATCTGGCATACTTCTTTGTAATCTTAATATCCAATTTATATATATCTTTTATATAATAATTCTATTTGCATTTCTTGCTCCTATCCTCCTATTTCCACTCCACGCCATTACATTAAATAACATCATTTTTCTACCCTAATCTTCAATACATTATTTCTGAACTAAACCCCATAACCTTCCCATCATTGCCCCCCTTTTAGCCACTTGATTTATTTAAATAAACATCTACTTTAGCTGAAAACAGTTTAGATTACATCCTTCTTAAATAAATCACGAAAAAATGAATATGAACTTATAAAGTATTAATATTTATAGTAGTTTATATCATGATAGCTATATTAAAGATATTCTTTTTATTTTGCAATTGTGATTTTGACCATTTGAATTAGTAAATACATTATAATTAAGCTAAAGGAATCTTTGTTTACCTCTAAAGCTTATTGCTAATGGTTGGCCATTTTTATGTTGCCATGGTTACAGCATTGTTGCTGTGGTCGGCCATTACAATTTTTAATTGTTGCCGCATTGTTGTTGTGATCGACCATTATGCTTTTCTAATTGTTGCCGTATTGTTGACATGTCGGCCATTATAGTTTGCTAATTGCTTTCTTTTGATGAAAATTTATTTCAAGATGCTCTGATTGAACACTAGAAAAATGCAACTGTAGCAATTGTTCCAATCAAATGAATAAATGAATATACTTTACTTTGATTCTCTATTTATTCGTTTATCCTTTACCTTGAAATATTAACTAATTAAGAAGAATCTAATCTAAACTTTTTTTAGGTAAAACAGATACTAATATATTAATATTATATTAATGTATCCTCAATTATTAGCCTGTAAATCTATATCTAACTTCTCCTAGCTAGTTGCTAATACTGCTATATCATTTGCAAATCTAATCATGCTAATCTTTTGCCTATGTGTCTTTAATCCCTACAGTTGTAGTGTCTTTAATGATGTTGATCGCGTTTTCGATGTATAGATTAAAAAGTAGCGGTGATAGTGTGCATCTTTCTTTGTCTAACTCCTTTCCTAATATCTACTTCTCTACGTTGCTGCTCCAGCTCAATAACTGCTTGCTGCTCTTTATACAAACCAAGTATCATATTTCTATCTCTGTAACTTGTAATAAGAGAGATAATGTGTAGTTCAAAAATTTACCTATGCTGTATGATCATAATGTAAAGCATAAGATGTGGGGAAATTGAAAAACCCGGGGAGAGTCTTAAAATGAATAATTGTTATGAAATCTTCATGTTTTTCTTTCTTTTCGTTTACAATACGTTTAAATTTTTTATGTTTGGTTTCAGAATATTCCCTGAGGTAATTTACAAGATACTATTGCACGGAAAATAAAAATGGTGAGTAATATTTTTATACATTTAACTTTTATTTTTTTGCACTATGTTTTTAGTTGTCTAAATTTTGTTTCACGTGTGCAATGTTCAGCATAAAACGAACTAGAAAATTACACTAACTTTACCCTATTCGTAAGCAATTTAATAATAGATATAATTTTGCTTTAATCAATTCTGGTACAGTTCTTATATTTTTATTTTCTCTTGTGCTCTGGTATATTCCACTTGTTTTATGCAGAAAGTGAGTAGAAAAACTACTAAAATTTTTAATTAAACAAATTTTATCACATTCTAA